CAAAAAGTATAGAATATGTTAATGTCCCGTGTAATAAGCTAAATATTATATAGATTTTAGCTAGATATGATATAGATTTTATTTAGAGATCATACTAAATTGCTTCAGAAATTAAAAGTTTTAACCTAATACATTTTTATCTTGTGCACATATAACATATTCTCTTCTACTCGATGTACTTCTATGAACCACTATTAACATTTATGCACCTTTAATTCAGTTCCCATCATATTCGTACAAGATATCGGAATACAGAAATAGTCACATGGATAGTCGGAGTTCTTTATAGTAAAGAACCCAATTGGGTAAGTAATTACTTAGTAAAATATCAAAAAGTTAAACAATAAGTAAGTATATGAATACTAATATAAGTAGAGAAATAACCCAACAACCCAAAAACTCAGTTCCAAAAATTACACTTACTCAATAATGTTATTAAAGAAATAGTCTCATTCCTAACGTATAGCTCCAACTAATATTTACTAATTCCTGCACACGGACAAGTTTACCCCATTATATCTCTAAAAGTATGGGTTTTAGGGTCGTGGTGTAATGACAACTTTTAATCAGAATGTCGGCAACTATAATATACTAAATTTTCAGCCATTTTCCATAAGAAATGTGCGTGGTCCTTTAAAAAAATAAAAAATCGAAAATATCTCGAAAACTGCTACACTAGGATTATGTTTGGTTCAATCGATTCTACGTACTAGTACTAGTACCTAACCTCCACTAACAGTATATTTAGTATTTCGTACTACCTGCCTAATATCCGTATCGTAAGATTTTTTCAAAATTATCATAGAAGACCTATGAATTAGGTATATGAATTCTAGATCACCATAAGCTGTATTACACTTTGATATCATAAAAGTAGACTCCCCAGAAGAGAATTTCTTATGAGGACCACAAGTAATTTTACCTCTCAGTCTTAAATATTCATGAACTTTAGATTTGAAACGGACTGTCTAAGACGAGTCCAAATGTGTTTACACGTCGGTGGACAAAATTTTGTAACATCATGTATGTTAAATTATTTTATTAAGTAAAACCACAAATTAATTTCATTAATTAGTAATAACAATAGTGGCAAATGCAGTTGAATTTGTAATATAAAATGAGTGTTATAAATTCTATTTATTTCTTTCTCGTTTTTTTTTACAAAATTGTATTTGTAAGAGTCCCCTGTACATCCAAGAATTTATTTGGATAAGTTCCGATTCATCATGTGCCATACTAGAAAATTTTAAACTTAAAAATTATTAAAATAATATATTAGCACGTTCTTTTTTTCATAAATATAAAGTCTTATTATAAAATATAATCTTCAACGTTACTCTGAGAGTGATGAAAAACATTTTTGTTACCCGATTTTTCTTTTATATAATTAGTAAGTTAAGTGATCTAAAAGGAAAAATTAAGTTAAATAAAGAATTCTAAAATAATACGAAAATTGACAAAATGCATTTTGATAAATATGTAGTATAACATTGAAATGAAAATATTGAAAACTTGTACTTGAGCTATTATAACATTACCAGGGTCATCTAAATAATAGTAGGAAAACTATATTTTAAATTAAACGAAATCCCATAAATGTACCATGTCCCATTTCGCTATTTAAAATGCTGCGACTAATTAATTATAAATATTCGAAAATACTTTTACAAACAACTTTTTGGTATTACCTAAACAAAACTTTAAACATTGGTTAATTACTACTGAAACTACACTACTAGCCTTGTTCAATTGTTCATATAATATAGTAGTTAAACAACCAATCAAAGTTAGGATAGGGATAGACTAGATGACGACTATTCTATGAAATCCCTGTCGCCATTGTTGAAAATATAATAGTCTAAGATCCCGCTATATAACGACCTTCACCGAGCTGGTTAATGGATGAAAAGTATTTTATATCAAATTAAATATGTCAATAAATATATTGCAAATGGGTTGTCTAAAAAATTTCAGTCCAGAATATGATTAATTAACAATTAAAATTTTTTTTTTACTGGTTTGGTTAATAGACAAATTCCATACCAATCGAAAGTATGAAGCCCTTAGAATATGCAAACGTTAGGTTGACTATTTTTTCCCGTCACAACTCTTGGGTAGGCAGGTATAAACAGGTAAATCGATACTAGTAACTTGCACCGGTCTGGTTCATGAATTAAAGTTAAATTAAAATAAAGATTATTTCATTACGAACACGGTGGTATAGGGTTGTCTGCGAAAAATCAGTACTTCCCGAATTCCGGTTGTCGACTTTTAAAAAGTGAAAATATTGCTGCGAGTGAATACGTGCGACAGAGAGGACACAGCATTGCAGCTGTATGTAATTCGTCCATTGAAAGAAAGAGTGCGCATGCTATTTGTCCGTGAAAATGAAATGGATAACGATAGACTCGTAAATGCTGTGCAGTGCATCATTTTGGAGTAGATTGTCACTATAGTTAGAATTGAAAAAACGTGCTACTATTTATTGTTGTAAAACAATGGCTAAAAAGTGTTTTTTATGTAATTCGGATGATGGTGTAATTGATTTTAATGATGAAACTTTTAAAAACTGTTCATTAAAGTTAGCTTTTCGTAAAATAATAATGCACAGCATTTACGAGTCTATCGCTATCCTTTTCATTTTCACGGACAAATAGCATGCGCACTCTCTTTCTTTCAATGGACGAACTACACACAGCTGCAATGCAGAGATATAGAGTGGGGAGAAGGCTCATTGACTTCTGCGCATCCTATTTTCGAGGGACACTACCAGTGCCGCCATTTTGAACATGAAGTGTCATTGTCTATGAACATGAATTTGTTTTGTTTTGATTTTTGAGGAGTGAGCAAGGTTATGTTTCGTGAATTATTTTTTAGTTACTATTTGTTTATATACGTATAATTTACGCCTGGAGCGGCAAATTGGCGCTGTGGACGTTTTTTAATATTCATTACATCGTTTCCACACTAAGGAAAACATTTATCCTTTATTGTTTTTGTTATGTC